AACATTTGTTTGTGCATTATAGAGATGCATCTGCAGGTCACCCGTTATCCACCCAGCGCTTGTCACACTGGCTGTGTGAGGCCATTTCTGAAGCCTACAGAGCATCAGATTTAGAGCCTCCTGATAACCTCAGGGCGCACTCGACCAGAGGTATCGCATCTTAGACTGCTTTGCATAATGGTATGACAATGCAGGATATTTGTACTGTGGCCGCGTGGTCAACACCCTGCTCATTTATTCATTTCTAGTTACGTGATGTGACGGCTCATTCCATGACTCATTCTGTACTTAGTGTTCTAACAGAATGAACATAGTTGTTTCATGGAACCCCGTTTAAACTCACATCTGTCTGCATGCATTACAATGTGAGATGTTGTTATCAGTCACAAGCTGTAACTGTTATTTTGGTTCTATTGTCAGTAATCAGTTCATGACTATTGTTACCAATCAGTTAATTTGATTAATAATCAGTTCAATTGTTATTATTAATCTGTCCATACTGGTCAGCCGTGAATCGGTTGGTTCATTGCCCCTTTTTCAGCATCTTCCCTCCCCGTTGAAACTTTTCCGGGGCGTTCATGAATTCAGAACGCATAACTACAAAGCATGCGTCTGTGCATGGTACACATATTTACGCAACGCGTAATTACGTACATGGGGAGCTGAGTGACGAGACGTTTTTGGGCAAGCTTCCGCTTCATACGGTGTTCGAATGGACCCAGTGAGGTGAGGACCACATCTGCTTCGCCCTTAACCCACCAGCGACAGCCTTAAAGGGCAAAGCCTATACAAAATAGAACGTTGTTTACGTACTGTAACCCCAGATTCTATGAGTATAGGCGTAACCCTTTAAGCGTTGGGCTTTACTGGCTCCTAAATGGCTGAAGAAAAGTTATTTGGGAGCCGATTACCCGCTCTTAACCTATACGGACCGGGTGGGGCCCACACAGCAGGTGGGTGTGGGCTAAATTTTTCAGTGCAATGTTTCGCATGACAGGATAAAACCCACCAGCGTCAGCCTTAAAGGAATATGGGGTTACAGTATGTAACCAATGTTTTCTGCATCTGGTTTGACTGTTTTAATTGCAAACCACGTAAAGACAAAATAAAATGTGTGTGTGTTATTCAATTCAGCTTATGGTGTTGGGGGATGATCCTGGTCCTCCTGTTGTCAAAAGCTGAGTTTCCCACCAGCTACATGATCTTGGTGGTCTGGTACTCGAGCACAGCCGACAGGTTGATGGAAATTCAACCACAGTGCCTCCTTTTCAACTCCTTTGGGGCTGTAACTGATGTATTTGAGCTTTTGATATGTTAATCAGCTGCTCCTGGTTGTTAAAAAAAACACCTTGTCGCATGGTTATGCATCATAACAAATTCCCAAAAGTAAAAAGGTTTCTATAAAAATCCTTCCAGCTGCACAGTATCCAATACATGAGGAAGTAATCATCAAAAAAAAAAAAGATTTACATCCAGAAAAAAGAGAAATTAAAGTTTTCAAAAGCAATAACACAGAATGAAAGTTACAGAGCTGCTCCAACATGCAGCCACCCTGAGCGGCGCAATTCTAGCACTATTATGTTTCATAATATCAAATTAACTGACATGTTGTAGATAATAATCATTGGGTGTATATCCATACATTCTTTTGTTCATTTGCATGTGCACAAATGACCATTAGAGCCCATTTATGACAAAAGGTGCAGAGGAGCTACCATCTCATCTCCTGGGGCAAGTCCAACATGAGACACCAGGCTGGGGGGCTATAAATAAACCCACACCACTGGCGCCTCTAACCGTGAACAATTTCAGAGTGGAATAAAGTCCAACCCCTCTCAAGGAAGTTGTTTCAAGAGCCCTCTCTGTGCAATGAAGTGAATATAACTAGTGGTACCGCCTTCCTGTGGGTACACCACCTGCAGGAGGGGCCATAAGAGTTGAGTGCATGGTGCAGTGGGTAGCAGCCGAATGCAGGGCCTCTGATCTTACCTTACTGAAACTGAATCCTTCATTGCCTCCGATGTGTGTCCAATCAGTGTGTGTGATAAAGCACTGATTAATTTCTACACATTCAGATTAGCTTTGCATAGATGTAGTAGAGTGGTGTATGAATGTGTTTGTAGAAGAGTGTTGTATATATGTGTGTGTAGTAGAGTGCTATGAATGTGTGTGTAGTAGAGTGCTATATGAATGTGTGTGTAGTAGAGTGCTGTATGAATGTGTGTGTAGTAGAGTGCTGTATAAATGTGTTTCTAGTAAAGTGCTGTATAAATGTATTTGTAGTAGAGTGCTGCATGAATGTGTGTGTAGTAGAGTGCTTTATAAATATGTGTGTCGTATAGTGATGTATGAATATTTGTATAGTAGAGTGCTTTATGATTGTGTGTGTTTAGAGTGTTGTATAAATGTGTGTGTAGTAGAGAACTTTATGAATGTGTGTGTATTAGAGTGCTTTATGAATGTGTGTGTAGTAGAGTGCTGTATGAATGTGTG